CACTGCTTGCTTCAAACAAATGAAAGTGAGTGGGAAAATTAGAAGTTTGGGAGCTCACGGAGGATGTCATAAGGCTGCTGAAAACCAGAAGAAGAAACGGTTTAATGAAAATAGATTACAGGGTTATGAAGTAGTGGATGTGTATGGATTATCCATGGAGAGTAAGGATGTTGGTTAGTGTCACTTTCTGCCTCTTATTTCACTTTATTGGTAAATCCACACAATTACTATGTAAGAAGATACAAAGTATAGGAATTTCTGATATTGTAGCCTCTTATTTTTAATCATAAGGTTACTATGTGCTTCATAGGCAGACTGTGTGTGTAATACATCTTACATGATACCATTCTGACTATGATAAAGTTCTAATAATTATATATAAAGTTCTGATTATTAAATATTAAGAGCTCTTTATTATATGCTAGCCTGTTATTAGCATGTACAGTATTGGTACAATATCAGGGTTGCTGTGATGGTGTTTTATAGACAGACTGGGTATAATGCATTTTATTATTATTTATCACAGGTACTTAAATAGTGCTGTCAATTTACGCAGCACTTTACATATATATTGTACATTCACACCAGTCCCTAACCCTCAAGGGGTGTACAGTCTAAGGTCCCTAACCCTCAAGGGGTGTACAGTCTAAGGTCCCTAACCCTCAAGGGGTGTACAGTCTAAGGTCCCTAACCCTCAAGGGGCGTACAATCTAAGGTCCCTAACCCTCAAGGGGCGTACAATCTAAGGTCCCTAACCCTCAAGGGGTGTACAGTCTAAGGTCCCTAACCCTCAAGGGGTGTACAGTCTAAGGTCCCTAACCCTCAAGGGGCGTACAATCTAAGGTCCCTAACCCTCAAGGGGCGTACAATCTAAGGTCCCTAACCCTCAAGGGGTGTACAGTCTAAGGTCCCTAACCCTCAAGGGGTGTACAATCTAAGGTCCCTAACCCTCAAGGGGCGTACAATCTAAGGTCCCTAACCCTCAAGGGGCGTACAATCTAAGGTCCCTAACCCTCAAGGGGCGTACAATCTAAGGTCCCTAACCCTCAAGGGGCGTACAATCTAAGGTCCCTAACCCTCAAGGGGTGTACAATCTAAGGTCCCTAACCCTCAAGGGGTGTACAATCTAAGGTCCCTAACCCTCAAGGGGCGTACAATCTAAGGTCCCTAGCCCTCAAGAGGTGTACAATCTAAGGTCCCTAACCCTCAAGGGGTGTACAATCTAAGGTCCCTAACCCTCAAGGGGGGTACAATCTAAGGTCCCTAACCCTCAAGGGGTGTACAATCTAAGGTCCCTAACCCTCAACGGGTGTACAATCTAAGGTCCCTAACCCTCAAGGGGTGTACAATCTAAGGTCCCTAACCCTCAAGGGGGGTACAATCTAAGGTCCCTAACTCACATTCATAGATACACATACTGGAGATATAATACTACTAGGGACATTTGTAGTTATTTAATAAATGTATAAATCTACTCTCATGGGGCCCCCTACTGACCCTGGGCCCTCGGGCAGTGCCCGAATTGTCAGTCTGATTCTAGTTATTACATATGAACTTCTATTTATTATATATAACGTTCTGATTAGAATATATATAGTTCTAGTTATTACATACAAACTTCTAGTTATTATATATAACGTACTGATTATAACATATACATAGTTCTAGTTATTATATATAAAGTTCTAGTTATTATAAAGTTTTTATTATAATAGATAAAGTTCTTGTTATTATATATAAACATTTTGATTAGAATATATAAAGTTCTAATTATTATATATAATGTTCTAGTTATTTTATATACTGTATAATTCTAGTTATTACATATAATCTTCTAGTTATTATAGATAACATTCTGATTAGAATATATTTATAGTTCAAGTTATTATATATATAGTTCTAGTTATTATAAAGTTCTGATTATTATAAATAACATTTTGATTATTATATATAAAGCTATTTGCTAGGTGCTGGCCTCTTATTAGCATTTCTTAGTACAATTAGAAGGTTGCTATGGTGTCTAAAAGGCAGACTGCGCGTGTGATAAATGATGAAAGATATAATAAAGTTTTGGGTATTATTTATAAAGTTGTCATTTTATATAAAGTTCTGGTTATTATAAAGTTCTGATTATTATAGATAACATTTTAATTGTTATATATAAAATTCTAAAAATAATAACACATGCAGCGCTACAAAAGGTTAATATATGTTGTATAAAGGATAATAAGTGATGGGCTACTGGTGCTTAAAAGTGATTGGAAAACATCCTCATATCATGATACAATAGTCCCAGTAAACAGTGCAAAGGTGGTCGACTGCTGAAAGGTGTATAATATTATGCACTCACCAGAAAGCGTATAATATGCAGGGGGATTCCAGACATCCAGAAATACTCTTTTGTTATTCTGAAGAAAGCTTTCTTCAGAATAACAAAAGAGTATTTCTGGATGTCTGGAATCCCCCTGCTGGTTAAGGAAAGGTGTATCCCCATCAGAGTGACAGCCTGCCAGATGATCTACACTGTTGCAGCTTTCTAGGACCAGGAGTGGTCTGACAACTCAAATGCGCATATTATGCGCTTTCTGGTGAGTGCATAATATTATACACCTTTCAGCACGGAGTCGACCACCTTTGCACTGTTTACTGGGACTATTGTATCATGATATGAGGACGTTTTCCAATCACTTTTAAGCACCAGTAGCCCATCACTTATTATCCTTTATACAACATATATTAACCTTTTGTAGCGCTGCATGTGTTATTATGTTTAGTGTGAAGGTTTGGGGTTTGTGCCTTTCATGCTAGCTGCTTGTCATCTATCTCCAAGCGCTCGTTAATTATTTTCACCATATATAAAATTCTGATTATTATTAATAATGCTACTTATTAGATGTTGACCCCTTATTAACATTTATTATTACAATGAGAAGGTTGCTATGGTGTCTGTATGTGTAATTAATGATTAGTTCTGGGTATTATATATAAAGTTGTAGTTATGTATAAAGTGCTAGTTATTATATATAATGTTCTGATTATAACACATAACATGTTGATGATTCTATTTCACATTGTGATTATTCCATAGAGTATATTTATTATACTGTACGATAGTTTCATTGGTTAGTACAATGAGAAGGTTGCTATAGTGCACACTGTGGGTGATATAAATAGAGTCATTATGAAGTTCAGATTATTGTGTATAAAGTTCTGGGTATTATAAATAAAACTTTGTTTATTATATCCAGAAGGGTCTGTTTATCGTATTGGCCTCCTATTCGGGTGTCTTAGTATGATGACAAGGTTGTTATGGTGCTTTATAAGCAGACTGTGGGTGATATAAATAGTCATGATAAAGTTGTGATCATTAGGCCCGGTTCACATATCGCGTAGCAGGAAGGCGGGCCCCCGCTAGAGGGTTTAACCCCTTGCCTCCTGGACACTTCCACCCCCTTCCTGCCCAGGCCAGTTTTCAGCTTTCATTGCTGTCACACTTTTTGTATGACAATTGCACGGTCATGCAACGCTGTACCCATATGACATTTTTATCAATTTTTTGGGACAGATAGCACTTTCTTTTGGTGGTATTTAATCATCACTTTGTATTGTTGTTAAACAAAAAAAAGACTAAAAATTAAATAAAAAACAAAAAAAAACAAACATTGTCTTCATTTCTGTTAGAAAATGTTGCATATTAGTACTTTTTCTTGTTCACTGATGGACACGAATGAGGCGGCATTGATGGGCACTGAATGGTGGTACTGACAGGCAGCACTGATGGGCGGCACTGATAGGTGGTACTGATAGGTAGCACTACTGGGCACTGATAGGTGGTACTGATAGGCAGCACTGATGGGCACTGATAGGCGGCACTGATAGGTGGTACTGATAGGCTGCACTGATGGGCACTGATAGGTTGTACTGATAGGCTGCCCTGATGGGCACTGATGTGGCAGCACTGATAGATGGTACTGATAGGCGACACTGTTGGGCACTGATAGGTGGTACTGATAGGTGGTACTGGTAGGTGGCACTGATAGGTGGTACTGGTAGGTGGCACTGATAGGCTGCACTGATGGGCACTGATAGGTGGTACTGATAGGCAGCATTGATGGGCACTGATAGGCATCACTGATAGGCTGCACTGATAGGCAACACTGATAGGTGGCACTGATAGGTGGTACTGATAGGCATCACTGATAGGCTGCACTGATGGGCAATGATAAGTGGTACTGATAGGCAGCACTAATGGGCACTGATAGGTGGTACTGATAGGCATCACTGATAGGCTGCACTGATGGGCAATGATAAATGGTACTGATAGGCAGCACTGATGGGCACTGATAGGCAGCACTGATGGGCACTGATAGGTGGTACTGATAGGCGGCACTGATAGGTGGTACTGATAGGCTGCCCTGATGGGCACTGATGAGGTGGCACTGATAGGCGGTTAAAGTATAACTGAAACTTTTTTTTTGTTTAGTTTTGGATGGAGCGGAGAGTGATCAGAACCCCTGACAGGTTTGCATTTCTGCCTGAGATTCCCCTCTCTATTGGTGCTGTTTACTGTTCAAGGTAACAAAAAAAAGCTCAGATTTTTGGTTGTCACTTGAACAGGGGAAATCATCCAATGGAGTGACAACTAGGGATACCTTCACCTTGGAGGGATTTCCTCTGACTTTCTTGTTGTGGCCATGGGACAGGAAGTGAAGGGAAATCTCCCCAATGGGGACACAGAAGTAAAACCTGACAGGGGTTCTAACCCTCCATTACTCCATCCAAAATGGAAAAAAAAAAAGGTCTTTAGTTCTCCTTGACGTTTTGGGGATCCTGTGTGAGGTTCGCCTCTTACAGTGAGAATATGGTTGCCATCTCATCCCTTTAAAACCGAACACATATTAATGACACGGGTTCTGGGCTGATTAACCACTTCCGGACCGCCCTATAGCAGAAATACTGCTACAGGGCGGCGCGGGTGCGCAAAATCACGTATATATGTGATTTTGCATTTCCGGGTAGGGGGCGCAAGCTCTACCGCGCCACCATTTGCGGCCGTGGCCGTCAATCACCCGGTCCCGGTCGGTGATTACTCGCCAGCACCCAGTGATTACTGAGGATCTCCGACAGGGAGGAGGACTGTTATGTTTACTAACAGTCCTCCTCCGTCAGCTCGGGCACACTGCACAGCACAGCCATCTAGAGCAGTGTGAGTACAGTGAAGCACACAGACACCGCCCCAGAGTAAAACACACACAGCACACAGTTAACCCTTTGATCGCCCCTCATGTTGACCCCTTCCTGCCCAGTATCATTAGTACAGCGTCAGTGCTTTTTATTAGCACTGATCACTGTATTGGTGTCACTGAGGATGCCAGTGACACCCAGTCAGTTCCCTACCAGTGTCAGAATGTCCACCGCAGTCCCGCTATAAGTCGCTGATCACCGCCGTTACTAGTAAAAAAAAATTTTAAAATTCCAGTATCTATACCGCCATTTGTAAATGCTATAACTTTCACGTAAACTAATTACTTTACATGTATTGGGATTTGTTTTAGCAAAGACACGGAGCAGAATACATTTTGGACTAAATTTATGAGGACCCATAGGCGATCAAATACCTCCAAAAGAAAGCTCTATTCGTGGAGAAAAAAAAGGACGTTTATTTTTCTTTTGGGTGCATGACCGCACAATTGTCAGCTAAAGTAACGCAGTGCCATAACACAAAAAAACTGGCCGGGTCAGGAACGGGGGGAATCCTTAGGAGAGCGAGGGGTTAAAGTGGTCATTAAACTCACTCAGTGCCTTGTCTGCAATAAATAGGCCTCAGAACCTGTGCCATTAATATGTGTTCGGTTTTACAGGAATGAGGTGGCAACCCTAAATGAGAAGTCTGATGGGGTCATGGAGGTTGTCATGAGGAAGGTGTGATCATTATGTATAAAGCTGTGTTTATTGTATTTTATCCTCTTATTAGCATTGATTGGAATACTGAGGACATGTTTAAGGAGCTTCACAGTCTTTAATAACATGGTAGCCCTGTCACTTCAGAGAGCGACCTGTACATCATCAGCCATCTCCCCAACCGGCCTCACTTCTCCTCACAGCACAAGCCCCGCCCCGTCCACAACTCCGCTCAGCGGCGCCGCCATTGGTTGGCGAGGAGTCACGTGGGCGTAGAGGCGGGAAGTTCGCCTGGTTACCTGGTTTCCTCAGCAACGTTTGGCAACAGAAGTGTCATGGCGGCCTGAGGAGTACGGGAGGACGGGTGTGGTACCCGAGAGAGGCCGCAGTAGGTAAAGAAATCCCAGCTGTCAGCCTTTACAGATTGTATTTCTGGTGGTGAGCCTGGGCATCCTATGTGACCTATTCTGTCCTATAGAACCTCCTCACAGCCCAGGAGGTCAGGAGGAGCACTGCCACTGGCTGCTGAATGGAGAGAGGAGACACCAGGCCAGGGTGAGCGACGCGCTCAGATCTCACCACTTCCTTATCTTTTCACACTGACATGTTTCAGGCACTGGGGGAAGTGTTCAGACAGCAATAAAGGACGTGTCCCTGGCCCAGCTAGGGTTTCCATCCACTGGAGGGAGCCCACCGTTTACCCGCTTGCCGTCCCAAGCGATTCTATCATCTCTCACATATATGTTATGATTTGCTTTTTTTTTTTGCTGAACAATGACAATGGGGTCCCAAGTCGTTGTCTAGCAAAAAAAAAAAAAAAAAAGCAGGACCCCCTAAACATGATATACGAAGGGTCTTCAAAAGGTTGCTGCACTTTTGTCACATGAATTAAGTTTTAAAAAGCGTGGAAACTTTTAGAAGAACCCTCGTATTTCCTGAAAGCAGAGACCCGGGGAGAATAAAATGGCGGCTGTTGCCGTTTTTTTATGACGTCTCACAGTATTTGCGCAGCCGTTTAGCTAATACAAGTTTTCAGGAATAAATGCACTTCAGTGAATTAGCGCACACAAACACCAGTATGATCCCTAATTTTTTTTTTTTTTAAATCTAAAAGATGGTATAGTGTCGAGTGCATAGATACCAAACATGTCAATATTTAACCACTTCAATACCAGGCACTTTCACCCCCTTCCTGCCCAGGCCAATGTTCAGCTTTCAGTGCTGTCGCACTTTGAATAACAATTGTGCGGTCATGCAACACTGTAGCCAAATGAAGTTTTTATCTTTTTTATTTGTTCCCACTGACCCCCAATGTAAAGGACATTTTTCCCATTGACTACCAATGTAAGGGACATTCTTCCCATGGACCCCCAATGTAAGGGACATTCTTCCCACGGACCCCCAATGTAAGGGACATTCTTCTCACTGATCACCAATGTGAGGGACATTCTTCTCACTGACCTCCAATGTGAGGGACATTCTTCTCACTGACCTCCAATGTGAGGGACGTTCTTCCCACTGACCACCAATGTGAGGGACATTCTCCACTGACCCCCAATGTAAGGGACATTCTTCCCACTGACCCCCAATGTAAGGGACATTCTTCCCACTGACCCCCAAATGTAAGGGACATTCTTCCCACTGACCACCAATGTAAGGGACATTCTTCCCACCGATCACCAATGTAAGGGACATTCTTCCCACTGACCACCAATGTAAGGGACATTCTTCCCACTGACCCCCAATGTAAGGGACATTCTTCCCACTGACCCCCAATGTAAAGGACATTCTTCCACTGACCCACCAATGTAAGGGACTATCTTCCCACTGACCCCCAATGTAAGGGACATTCTTCCCACTGACCCCCAATGTAAGGGACATTCTTCCCACTGATCACCAATGTAAGGAACATTCTTCCCACTGACCCCCAATGTAAGGGACATTCTTCCCACTGATCACCAATGTAAGGGGCATTCTTCCCACTGACCTCCAATGTAAGGGACATTCTTCCCACTGACCTCCAATGTAAGGGACATTCTTCCCACTGACCACCAATGTAAATGGGCACATTCCTTCCCACTGGACATTCTTCCCACTGACCACCAATGTAAGGAACATTCTTCCCACTGATCACCAATGTAAGGAACATTCTTCCCACTGATCACCAATATAAAGGACGTTCTTCCCACGGACCAGTGGTGTTAAAATGTTATACTTTCTGGATGGAAAATACATGAAGTACTTTGCTTCCCTTATTCCTCTTATTATTACCTCTACAACTCACTGATCATACTAATGAGCCATGGGCGGTAGATATGATTTTTAGCAGGGATTTCCCGAGACCTAACAAACCCAAGGACACGAGAAGGTTGAGAAAAGCTGTACTGAGTGCTGAATATAGAATCATCATAGCAACACATAATTGTCCAGAAACCACAATAGATGCAGAAAGTGATGTATAATACACACAGCATGCGCACATTAAGTATCTGTAATATTAGACTATCAAACATGTGAAATATAAATGATGGAGATGGCAGATTTCAATAGTCACTCTTGCAGTTAACCCGTTGCTTGCTGCTCAGAGCACCGAATATAGTATTTTGTACAAGCCCGTAGTATCCTATTTATGCCGCACCTACAACTTTGCCTATTTAATGGGCACTTTCCGTTATTCACAGAAAAAAAAATCCCATTTAATTGGGCTGCCGGAATTGTCAGTTCACCACGGCGCTATTAATTATCCAGGATGGAAGCAGACAGTGCTGGGCTCTGTATTCACTCCCGTGTCATCAGACAACACAGCCTCTCTGTTTGCTTCATGTAATTAGATTAACACAGCGTTGCTCTCCTAACAGGAACAGTTTTCGGTCCTGGGCGCACATTAGCGTACGGATGAAAACAAAAGCACATTTGCATTTTCATTACAAAAACAAAACACACCATGTGCATGTGGAGGTGAGAACACGGGGCTGTGATGTGACAGCCTCTGGGGGGTATTAATAATTAACACTGTTGTAGCAGAAAAATGTAATCAGGGTCAGGTTTATGTTATTATGTATCTCCTTCTGTCTCTCTCTTCTTGCACATTTTTTTTCCACAAGTACCTGTGCACATGAACATGGCTGTCTTTTTTTTTTTTGAAGCACAAATCACTTTTCACCTGGTGATGAAGGGATGATTGGCTGTACCGGTTGCTGGATAGCTTAGACAGCCAATCAGATCATGGTAAGTGGGAGAAGAGTTTTGTCAATGACACCATGGAAACATTTGTCTAGGGACTTGATCCTGTTTCTGGAGAGGACCCGTTAGCAGTGTATGTGTATATCTATGCAGTATCCAAATCGCGGGGAGACTTACTAAAGCCGGAGAGTGCAAAATCTGGAGCTGCTCTGCATACAAACCAATCAGCTTCCAGGTTTTACTGTCAAATCATTATTGAACAAGCTGAAGTTAGAAGCTGGCTACCATGCACAAGATTGGCTACCATGTACAACTGCACCAGATTCTGAGCGCTCTAGTTTTAGTACATCAACCCCCATGTCTGCCTTTTTCATACAAATTTTCTTGGCCGCCAGGTAAAATTTGTAGGTTGCCAAGTCTTTCTTCAACCCTTCCAATAACACAGTGTTTCTCAACTCCAGTCCTCATGGACCCCCAACAGGTCATGTTTTCAGGATTTGCATTATTTTGCACAGGTGATTTGATCAGTTTCACTGCCTTAGTAATTACCACAGCTGTTTCATCTGAGGGAAATCCTGAAAACATGACCTGTTGGGGGTCCATGAGGACTGGAGTGTAGAAACACTGCAATAACACATGTCCACATCAATTTGTACACACATACTAAGACCAATGTAAACAAGAGCCAATTAACCTTCATTTCTTTGGACTGTGGGAGAAAACCTGAAAACCCAGGGAGAACATGCAAACTCCATTCCTCTGTGCGTGTGGTGCAGCTGCACTTATTTGTGTGCGGATCCGCAGCTGCACCCAGTGGTGTATTCAGGTTTTTTGCTGCCCTAGGCAAAACAAAAATCGTCTGCCCCCACAGACATCGACCAACACCCCCCCTTCCCCCTCCCATGGAGAGAGTCTGACATTGAACAACAAAACCCCTGCCCCCCACCCGGAAGAGCTTTTCATAACCATCTACATACACCATCAAGCAGCCCGCAGCCTCTTTCGGGTCCCACCTGGTACCCATGGTACACATGTCCTTTTTTTCATCTCTTCTTCTGGGGGGAGGTGCTGCCCCCCTGAAAAATGCCGCCCTAGGCAAGTGCCTTGTTTGCCTTGTGGTAAATACGTCCCTGGCGGCACCACCCGCACATATGTGAACCTAGCCTTACAGAGGGGTAGATTTACTGACCCCAGTTCACATCTATGTGGCCGTGCGGGCCGCGTTTTGCACGGGCACGAGAGCCCATTCATTTGAATGGACTCCCGTGCCCGTGACACGCAGGGAAAGAAGTCCCTGCCCTTGTTTGGAAAACGCAGCCAGCACGGGAACCTCGGTTGCCAGTATGGTTGCGTTTTCCAGTGCGGGCGGCGTGCCATTAGAACTAATGTCACCCGCCCGCAGGTCCGCACTCCTTTGTGCGTGTGGTGCAGCTGCACGGATTTTTGTGCGGATCCACAGCGGCACCACCCACACATATGTGAACCTAGGGTAAGACTGGAGAGTGCAAAATCTGGTGCAGCTGTGCATGGTATCCAATCGGCTTCTAACTTCAATTTGTCCAATTAAGCTTTGACAAAAAAACCTGAAAGCTGATTGGTTCCTATGCAGTCAGATCTTGCGATCTCCAGTTTTAGTAAATCAACCCCTTTGTCTTTATAATCAGGTGCGGTGTACTGAGGGAACTAAGTTTGTAACTGAAACATTCTTGCAGAGTACAGATAGTATGTAAACCTGGTGGCCCCAGCCTGAATTACCTCCTACACATTTTGTTCTACACGATTGTTCTCAGCTTGAAAGCCGTCTATTTCCCTCCCAGGCCACGTACATCTGCGCTCTTCATCCACTTTGATTTTAATGATTCGCACAGCAACTATCTCAGATGTATTTCCTCCATGCTCCGCAGGAGTAACGGTTTGTCCGCGATGTGCTGAGCTGTTTTCACCCCTAGCGGCTGTTCTCTAGGGGGTCAGGAGGTCTTCCTCGCAGAAAGCAAAACCCTACAGCGAATTTTCAACAAATCTGTTCTGTTCCGCTAAGACAAATAATCCTCGCAGTGTTTAGTGAACCGGGACAACGAGCCTATTTAAAGATTTCCCGGAAGAAATCTCCAACTTGCTCGCAGAGCCAAGCTTTTTACCTCTTTCTTTTTGAATCCATTTTTATTTAAGAGGATCTAGAATTCATGCAGAATTCAAGGTCAAAATCCAAAACGTATTGGGTTTCTGCAAAGAAAACTGCAGTTACAGTGAAGCTGTAGCAATCTACCAATCCTTAGCGACCAATGAGGATTCCATCTTTGGAAGATGATTGGTTGCTATGGGGCAGGTGCTCAGCTTTGGGTCCAAAGCTTTTTTCAGCATTCACATCATATTTCCATCAAGCATGTGACTATCACAAGCCTGATGAAGGGGCACTGCGTGGCTCCGAAACGTTCTGTAAATACAACGTAATTGCTGAATAAAGCTTTGGACCCATTTAAAGACTCCTGGTGTGCTGGTGACATATCTTCCACTTTGAATGTCTACCGTTTCCGACTGGTAGTCACTGCAGCACCCACTAACATCCACAGCCGTTTCTCAGGAATGTGTGCATTTGGAATACTGTGTTTGGTATACAAATAAAGCTCCTACCGGGTATATGCTGATATCAGGGCTCCCTTAGGGATGGTTCAAACCACAGAAACGCAGTCCAGATGCATTCCGGATGCATTTTTGACATGTTTTTGGTGCATTTTGCTGCGTTTTTTATGCATTTTTTATGTGTTCCAGTGCGTTTTTGATGTGTTCCGGTTCATTTATTCCCCTCTCTATTTTCTTCAATTTAAATAAGGACATGTGTGTTCCGTTGCTTTTTTGATGTGATAGCTAAACCAGTCTGCCCATTCTCCTCTGACATCCACAAGGCACTTTCGTCCACACCATTGCCGCACACTGGATATTTTTTCTTTTTCAGACCATTCTCTGTAAAACCTAGAGATGGTTAAGAGTGAAAATCCCAGTAGATCAGCAGTTTTTTAAATATTCAGACCAGCCCATCTGACACAAACAAACATGCCATGTAGAAAGTTACTTAAATCCCCTTTCCTCCCCATTCTGATGCTCGGTTTGAACTTCAGAAGGTCGTCATCACCACGTCTACATGCCTAAATGCACTGAGTTGCTGCCATGTGATTGGTTAATTAGCAATTTGTGTTACCAATCAATTGAACAGGTGTACCTAATAAAGTGACCAGTGAGTGTATATTCAAGTATTAACATATATATTTTCTCGCAGGGATGAATAAATAAAAGAATAGCAGAACACCGGAAATACCTTCTCTGGAGAAAATGCTGCTCCACACTACTTCCGTACTTATCAAATAACCAAAATACTAGATCAGATGAGCTGTACTGAAGGGGAGAATCAGAATTTAGAATGCCTAATTCTTACCTTCAGCAGAAATCAACTTAAAGTGGGTTGTAGACCGCAGACATGAAATATGAACAAGGCATATCCCTCTATAGTGTATACTTGCCTCGATCCATAACACTTATGCAGGCCATAGATGGGTCGAAAATCGGCCGATTTTTCTTTAAAAAAACGAAAAATCGGTCGTTCAAGCGGCCGACGTTACCAGCAACGGTAAAAAAAATCGGCCGATTTTCATCCCATTTACAGCCGGCAAAAAGGGTCCCTGCAGAGAGCTCCGCTATTTCTTTGACAGTTCCTTGACATTTATAGCAGTTGCAACAATGTAGTTGTATCCATTTAGGATACAGATGTTTTTATTCGGAAACAAATAGATACATTGTTGCAAGCGCTATAAATGTCAAAGAACTGTCAAAGAAATAGTGGAGCTCTCTGCAGGGACATTTTTTGCTGGACTGGAATTCCGCTTCTTCTTCATCCTCTTCTTCTTCATCCTCCTCTTCTTCATCCTCTTCTTCTTCATCCTCTTCTTCATCCTCTTCTTCTTCTTCATCCTCTTCTTCTTCTTCTTCATCCTCTTCTTCTTCATCCTCCTCTTCTTCATCCTCTTCTTCTTCATCCTCTTCTTCTTCCTATTCTTCTTCATCCTCTTCTTCTTCCTCTCTTCTTCCTATTCTTCTTCATCCTCTTCTTCTTCATCCTCTTCTTCATCCTCTTCTTCTTCCTCCTCTTCTTCCTCCTCTTCTTCGTCCTCTTCTTCTTTGTCCTCTTCTTCGTCCTCTTCTTCGTCCTCTTCTTCCTCTTCTTCTTCCTCTTCTTCTTCCTCCTCTTCTTCCTCCTCTTCTTCCTCTTCTTCATCCTCTTCTTGTTCTTCTTCATCCTCTTCTTGTTCTTCTTCATCCTCTTCTTGTTCTTCTTCATCCTCTTCTTCTTTTTTCTTCTTCTTTTTGTCTTCCTCTTGCAGGTCACGGCTCATGTGCAGATTTTTTTATCGGTAAAAAGATCGGCCGATTTGCCCATCATTGCCGCGAAAATTGACCGATTGGCAAAATCGGCCGATTTTTTTTTCCAACTTCACCGATAAAAAAAATCTGCCAAAATACCGAAAAATGGCCGAACAATTAGCCCACTAACAATCCGAAAAATCGGCTGATTTTCGACCCATCTATGGCCTGCATAAGTGTCATCTCTGTCTGCTGCCTCCTTCCTCTGCTATCAGCATGAATCACTTCTGACCAGTTTCCTGACACCTAGAGACAAATGGTGGTGAGAGGAAAGGGAGCAACCTGTGATTCAGTTCAGTTCCTGTGTGCTGTGTGGAGGAAGTGTGTCCCTTCCCTCCAATCAGCTCTCAGATCTTTCCTCACTGAATGTAACTGCAGCTGCCCGCCCCCTTTTCAGAGCTGAGAGATCTTATGTAAAATCTGCACTTTGGATGTAGGGGAAAGACGGCTGCAGATAAACAGGTACAGCTTATGTAGGAGGATTTGTGTATCACCTGAGATCAGTCGCTTCACTGGGAATATGTTGGGGTTTACAAACACTTTAACCTGCACTAAACTGAAGCTGGAGCCGCATTTTTTTTAGGACCGGTATTTTAGGATTTCTTACCCCTATGATCTTATTGTGTAGGAAATCCTAATGTTCTGCTTTTATTGCAGGAACTGCCTTCTGTTTTGAACATACTGCAAAAAATACAAATGGCGTCAAATAATGGTCAACCTAAAACCAAACCGTTGAAGAAAGGTGGCAACCAGGGAAAGATGGACCCCATGCAACGTGCCAGATACTTGGCTTATGAGCATCCTAGCAAATCAGTAGCCGCATCAATAGCCATCACCCAGAACCGGCTGCGAGAACACGCCCTCCAATCCCAGGCAGAGACCCGAAAACAGGTCCCAAACCTTGAGCAGGAGAGGCAGGCCAAGGTGGTGGGCCAGCTGAAGGCCGCAGAGGCTCGAAACCGTATCCGCCTGATGAGATTCCGCTTCCAGTGCATGAGAGTAAGATGTTTTATGTATCCCACGAGGTTTCCAAAGATCCAATTTTATCTGCTGATAGAACTAAAAATGTTTGCATGTCAGCTTTATTGATGTTTTTAGAGTGCTAGCAGATTAGTCCTGCTGGGAGAATTAGTGCCAAAATTATTTGTGATTAAACAATGTATACAGAGGGTCAGGAGTTCATTGTCAGAATTGTTCATTAGTGTTTACTGGCCTTAAAAGGATTCTTCCCGGATGTTTATGTGCTGCCTTTATTGCTGGTGTAAAATTGTGCAAGCTTCAGGGCTATCATTGTCATCCTTCACAGCTTCAAAGTACCATCTGTGCTTGTGCTAGACGGATGAAATGTTATAGACAAGACAGTGTGTTGTGTGTGTAACCCCGATTGACAAGCTCTGCACTGTAAGCTGTGAGAGCAGAATGGGAAAAAAGACCGAGTGCAGTCTGTATGAATACCATTATATACACTATATTGCCAAAATTATTGGGCCAGCCCTCCAAATCATTGGATTCAGGTTCCAGTCACCTTCATGAACACAGGTGTATAAAATCAAGCATGTAGGCATGCGACTGCTTGTACAAACATTGGTGAAAGAATGGGTCGCTCTCAGGAGCTCAGTGACTCCAAGCGTGGTCCCGTGATAGGTTGTCACCTGTGCAATAAGTCCATCCATGACATTTCCTGGCTACTAAATATTCCACGCTCAACTGTTAGTGGGATTATAACAAAGTGGAAGCAACTGGGAACAACAGCAACTCAGCCACCAAGTGGTAGACTATGTAAAATGACAGAGCGGGGTCAGCGCATGCTGAAGCGCACAGTGCACAGAAGTCGCCAACTGCCTGCAGAGTCAATAGCTAAAGACCTCCAAACTTGGTGTGGCTTTCAGATTAGCAAAACAACAGTGCGTAGAGAGCTTCATGGAATGGGTTTCCATGGCCGAGCAGCTGCATCCAAGCCTTACATCACCAAGTGCAATGCAAAGCGTCAGATGCCGTGGTGTAAAGCACGCAGCCACTGGACTCTAGAGCAGAGGAGACGTGTTCTCTGGAGGGACCAGTCATGCTTCTCTGTCTGGCAATCCAATGGATGTGTCTGGGTTTGGCGATTGCCAGGGGAACGGTACTTGCTTGACTGCATTGTGCCAAATGTAAAGTTTGGTGGAGGGGGGATTATGGTGTGGGATTGTTTTTCAGGGGTTGGGCTTGGCCCCCTAGTTCCAGTGATGGGAACTCTTAAGGTGTCAGCATACCAAGACATTTTGGACAATTTCATGCTCCGAACTTTGTGGAAAGAGTTTGGGGACGGCCCCTTCCTGTTCCAACATGACTGCTCACCAGTGCACAAGGCAAGATCCATAAAGACATGGAGGAGCCAGTTTGGGGTGGAGGAACTTGACTGTCCTGCACAGAGTCCTGATCTCAACCCGACAGAACACTTTAGGATGAATTAGAGCGGAGACTGCGAGCCAGGCCTCCTCCCCCGACATCAGTGCCTGACCTGACAAATGCACTTTTGGAAGAATGGTCCAACCTTCCCATAGACACCCTCCTAAACCTTGTGGACGGCCTTCCCAGAAGAGTTGAAGCTGTTATAGCTGCAAAGAGCGGGGCCAACTCAATATTGAACCCTACGGACGAAGACTGGGAGGCCATTAAAGGTCATGTGTGTGTAAGGGCAGGCGGCCCGATACTTTTGGCAATATAGTGTATGTTCTTATGAAGGCAGTGCTGGACTTTCCAGTATTTTTAAAGTTGTCTTCTAGTTCTTCTAGACTCTCTCCTTGCATGGTTGTGCTAAGCCTGAATTAGGTGGTGCATGCTCTACAATAAACAGGCTTTGACGGGTCAAGCGGGGCTGTTTCTTCCCTATTTCCATAAACACACAGCAACCAGATTGTGGAGGAGAAGGCACCAGCCTTTCATTGCAGTCTACCATAAATACAGCACTTGTGCTCACTCAAGAGGTCTCAGAGCTTTTAGATAAATTGACAGAAGCTTCTGTGTGTTCCAGTGGGTCAGAGTGCGCTCGCAAAGTGTATTTCATAAGCAGAAGTGACAGTCACCCTTGGGCAAGTTTGTGGCTTGGTCACATGGCTTTTACATGTTTTTGTGGACAGGATATACTGGTCGTAGTTAGAAAATGTAAACCCTAAATGGAAAACCTTTAGTTTATGCACTGTGTATCAAGAAGCTGGCATGTTTTCTTTTTTTGTAGTTCAGTACTGCTAATCCACTTCTGCCATTTACTGTCTACATACTTGTGCTCCATTGACAGCATAGCATTGGGAAAGTAGTACTAAAGGCTTGTGCATGCTGAACAATAAACAGGAGGTCGGCCTCTCAGCGTGAGCGCCATTCAGAGAAGGCTGTGCATTTTCTGAATGAATGCAAAGTGTTCTCTGAATGAAATTGAGTGGATGACATCACCACCTCACCTCTCCCCTTGTCCAATCAGAGAATGCTTTGCATTAATTTAGAACAGTGGTCTCCAAACTGTGGCCCTAGGGCTGGATCTGGCTGTTTACTTGCCTTTATCCGGCCCTTGGGGCACTTTTTCTATAACTGATGCAAGACACTATTCCTCCCCCTGACGGCAGCGATGGGGCGCTGCTGCTCCCCCTGACGGCAGCGATGGGGCGCTGCTGCTCCCCCTGACGGCAGCGATGGGGCGCTGCTGCTCCCCCCCTGACGGCAGCGATGGGGCGCTGCTGCTCTCCCTGACGGCAGCGATGGGGCGCTGCTGCTCCCCCTGACTGCTCCTCCCCCTGACGGCAGCGATGGGGCGCTGCTGCTCCCCCTGACGCCAGCGAAGTTGTGTTGGCTACTTTAGAGATTTCCAGATTCCAGGGGCATTGGCCAGGTATTGTGTATAGTAGGTAAGGAGGTGCAGGTTGGACCAATGTAACTATGTAAAAATATACCATGCCTGGAATTTGTGCTTGTTTTCCTCCAAGTCAACGTAAATGCAAAAACCGCTCAGAAGCCCCTGTAAGCTCTCTGTATTTGACTTGCTTCTGGTGGCTGTGTACATGATCCCTTACATGCCCAGGCTAGAGCTATATCAGAGAGCGCAGGGTTAATGCCTTCAGGATTGCAGTGATTTTGCTTGACCCGTAACTTCCAAAGCATCTGGAATATCTCCCATGTTTCCTTCTGAGATCCCCACTGCAGCTATTTTTAGTAAGCCAAAATAGGAAGCCCCGCCTCCCCTTTATCTTTGTGATGTCACTTGCGCCTAAAATATCACTGAGACTGGGCCAGGAATGTTGACCCCTCCCCTCCTTTCTGCAATCCCAGGCTGTTCATACCATAAGCTATGATTTTTTTTTTTTTTTTACCTACCATATTTTTTTTATCTATGTATATGCTGTCAATACATTTAAAAAAATCTTTACTTTCCCTAAAATATGAGAACACCACCTCTCCTTGTAATCAGAGAGTCAGGAAAATGCAGAGCCAGTACATTCCTGCTTCATTAATGAAGTATTCCTTTCCTCTTTATTCCTTCATCACGCTAACTCACAGTACATCTTACACAGCCTAAAGCAGGGGTGGGAAAACTTTTTGACTTGAGGGCCGCAATGGGTTCATATATTGGACCCGGGGGCCGGACCAAGAGTAGATGAATGATGTGTATGTGTCATCCATAGTAAGTATAGTAATATTCCCCCATAGTAAGCATAGTAATTAATCCCCCATATAGTAATTCATCCCCCATATAGTAATTCATCCCCCATATAGTAATTCATCCCCCATATAGTAATTCATCCCCCATAGTAATTCATCCCCCCGTATAGTAATTCATCCCCCGTATAGTAATTCATCCCCCGTATAGTAATTCATTCCCCGTATAGTAATTCATTCCCCGTATAGTAATTCATTCCCCGTATAGTAATTCATCCCCCATATAGTAATTCATCCCCCGTATATAGTAATTCATCCCCCCGTATAGTAATTCATCCCCCCCTATAGTAATTCATCCCCCATATAGTAATTCATCCCCCCCTATAGTAATTCATCCCCCATATAGTAATTCATCCCCCATAGTAATTCATCCCCATATAGTAATTCATCCCCCATATAGTAATTCATCCCCCATAGTAATTCATCCCCCCTATAGTAATTCATCCCCATAGTAATTCATCCCCCCTATAGTAATTCATCCCCCCTATATAGTAATTCATCCCCCCTATAGTAATTCATCCCCCATAGTAATTCATCCCCCCCCCCCTATAGTAATTCATCCCCCATAGTAATTCATCCCCCATATAGTAATTCATTCCCCATATTAATTCATCCCCCATATTAAGTCCCCAAGTCCCCCCTGTGTCAATTTACTTACCTTTGCTCTGCGCGTTCCTCTCGCCGTGTTCACGCGCCGTTCCGGTCTTCAGGGCGGACTGTGAAAGGAGCCTAGCTCCCCTCACGTTCGTCACGCTTCCCCGCCTACACACATCCTGACAGCCATCCTGACAGTATCACGCTCCGCGGGCCGGATTAAAAGGTCCGGCGGGCCGTAGTTTGCCCATTGCTGGTCTAAAGCCTAGTAAACACTAGAAGTTCTCTTTCGTTCAACTCAGAAGGCTGAACAAATTATTAAAAAAAAAGAGAGAGATCGTCGTACCAACACAAGCGATGTTGGTGTGGCGATCGCCCCGCTGTGCCCTTGTATTCTGATAGGGGGACCCCCCCCCCTTCTCCAGAAGACACTGAGCAGCACTGGCAGGCATTGGCTGGCAGTGCTGATCAGATGCTTGTTTTCCAGCATGCTCATTTGACACAAGCCAGTCATGAGAATGGCTTCTGTAGAACAGTCAGCAATGTACATGGGGTGAAAGTCAGCCAGTTCCTGCTACACCAGCCAATTTCAGCTGATTTTTGGCCCATGTGTACAGGGCTTAAAGCAGGCCATAGATAAGTCGTTTTTTCTTTTGTTCAACCAGCAGCTAAGGACTGGTTCACACTATAGAAACGCAGTCCAAATATGTTCCGGATGC